AGGGAGTATTAAAGGGGCTGCCCCACTAGGCAGCTAACAAGCAATCATTCATTAAAATGTTAAGAAATATGATTTGAATTGCACTGATTTCTCGCACAATTGCAACTTCTTTCTTTTTGGTTTATTTACAAAACAACTGTTAAATTAAAATACCAAAGAGCTTTAAACATTAGCATTTTCATCTTATAACCTTACAAGTGTGTCACTTTACATATCCGCATAAAAGCTCAGCTCAATTATAATCCCCTGGGATTTACCTGCTTGGTACTAAGCATATATGTAAAATTATTACTCACATGTTTCTCTGACACTCTGAAGTGGCGAGGTGTGGCTGGCACAGACCCTCGTGGGTTAATCATCACTAGTTACTCAAGAAGTGCCTGCTCTTCCCTGGGGATTGCCAGTCCTCTCTATCAACTTCATTCAAGACCAGCCTGGAAGACACCAGAGTTTTTTCCATAAAGCCAAGTCAAAAAGTACTCTCTATCTGGTCAGTCCCTACAGGTTAATGAGACAAAGGTGTGTCAGTCAAGCAGCAGGTATGTCCTGAGCACACACCACATTCCGGCCCCAGTGCTGGGAAGACTGGGGGGTGGGGGCAGGATTGGGGCCATGCTTCTTCAAGAGCTGCTATGTTAAAGGATGAAGGCGTGAAAACGGGGAGAAAATTATGGTTTATTTCCAATATTTACAGGTACTGCTTTTAATAGAAAAAAATGCAGCAATACCGTTGTGCTGTTTATAAAATACAGCATTAAAAAAAAAAACATTAATTTGCCTTATGTGATCTGCTAATTGGATGTATGTCTAAGCTCATTTGTATAACTACAAATACCCAAGCCTTCCCCACCCTTTTCTCACTCACCTCTCCTCCTACTCCCCTACTCTGGAGGACACGAAAAATACACATAAAAGTTCCTGCCCTAGTTAGAAAGAAAACACCAACACACAGAAAAACAGAAGTCATAGAAAATGGAATAAAATCCAGTGCTGAATTGTAAGTGAAGACTTTAGGGTGTAGGAATTCTAGCTATAAATCCTAAAAACACAAAGTAGCCAACACACAATAATTACGCAAGTCAGGACAACTAAGTCAGGAAAAACCTGGAAAAGAAAGTTGAACCCGTAATCCTGATACAGACACTAAAACCTCCAGTGAAGTTCTTCAATGGGAGAAGCGAGCCAACTTGCACTCTCCCAGCCACCTTTATCAGCCAGCTTCCTACAATGGTTCTAGAACCTTCCTTCATTCCAACTCAAGCAGAACCCCCCAACAGACTCCTAAACAGCATTGTCGCTGAGAAGCTAAAGGGAGAGCCCATGGCCACCCCAAGGCACCTCTCCCCTCAACTCTCAGGTGTGCTCAGGTCAAAGAGGCTGCCTCCACCCTGCCTGGCTTTGCGGTGTAATTTCTAACCAGCCGATTCAGCAGCTCTCGGATGGGCCATGCAGGGCTTTTGTCAGCTCTTGGGGCTTTGTCTCATCATGAACAGACGCTCCCTCCTGGACTAGGACTTAGAGCTGGAAGGTGGGGTGGTAACCGCGGGACAAAGCTCACCTTGGCCCGTGCAAGAGCGCCCAGGTTGGCCCATGGCGATGGGGCGCCAGTGTTACAAGGAAAAGCCAATACTTCATGCTCATGGTGGCAGTCGTGGGAAATCCATTTCTGAAGCCACATCTGCCTTGTCAGCGTGAATCACCCGTTCACCTAACACGACACTGACCCGGGTCAAGCCTCAGGTGAGAGCCAGCAGCCTGCATCCCTACCCTGGCTCCAGTTGCAGGAACGTGGAGCAGGTTTCTGAGCGGAAGGACAGCCACCGAGGCTGGACAGTTGTCCTCAAACGCGGCCTACTTGTGACGTTTTACTTCCTCGCCCGTTGCCCTGAGAATATCCATTTTCTGTCACTTCCATCTCAGGACATCAAAATACCCAACCAAATGTGAACACTGCGACTCGTGGGGACCAAGCCTCGCGGGAGAGGGAACCGGGGGCGCGGGCGCTGCCCGAGGGGCTTCCCCGGGGTCCTGCCGGGCTGGGGACAGGCTTCGCCCGCCGCCGCCACCCCGGTCTTCGGGTGGCCTCCTAGCAGTGTCCCAGGTGCGGAGGGCGAGGAGGCGGGCAGGCGCGGGCCACCGTCCACAGGCGGCGGGACGTCCCCGTCCAGGGCGGGCGAAGGCGACCTAGCCCCGGGCGCACCGTCGACAGTGGCCGAACCGAAGCGGGGACTCGAGCAGGAGGAGGAGGCGTTTGTTCGGCTGGGAGTGAGGTTCCGAGGGGAAGGAAGCGGGGACCCGGTCTGTCCCCGCGGCGGAAGCCTCGCGGGCGCTGGGACCTGCGCGGCCTCCACACGAACCTCCCCGTCGCAGGGACGCCTGTTTTTCTGACTTAAAAACGTAAAAAACGAACAAACGAAGCAGAGCTCTAAACGCAGCAGCTCCCCGAGCTAGTCGGAGTGGAGAGAACGGCGACAGCAGCGACAGCAGCGACGTCCCGCGCCCCGCCCGCTCCCCACGCGCGCAGCCGAGGCCGGGGCTCGGGACGCCCCCGGGCCGCCGAGGAGCCT